CGATGTGTATCCTTGTAGGACACACAGAGAAGATCTATTCCATCAAGTACCACCCTCTAGCCAGTGGACTCCTGGTGTCTTCATCCTACGATCTCACAGTCAGGCTGTGGAACCTGGAGACGGGAGAGCAGGTCAGACTTCTTACTGGACACCAGGACCAGGTGGGTAACCTTTAACCAGGAAATTAAACTTTTGATTCATGTCAGAAATTTTGCTCAAGCTTCAAAAATGCTTCATGCAGTTTGTGGATAAAATCAGCCACCAGAACACGTTTCTTTACGGAGCTCTTCCTGGTCTCTTCCCCCCGATGATGCTCAGGTGTTCGGCATGGCGTGGAGCCCAGACGGGAAGCTGCTGGCCACGGTTTGCAAAGATGGAAAAGTTCGCATCTATGACCCTCGCAAGTCAACAGCGCCCGTCCAAGTACATAAAACACCAGTTCTCTTTTGGTTTTCTGTGGAAATGTCTTCAACACGACCCCAACAGCTGATTTTAGAATGAAATCATAAAGAATCTAGATTCACATTTATTGTCCGGGCTAGGGATGTCCCGATGCGATCACATGATCGTAAATCGGCCCCGATCACGTGGTTTCAGACTGATCCGGACTCGGATACTGGGTTCAAATTACAGGAGAGCAACTCGGTTCTCCTTAAAGGTTGTCAGGCTCCCCTGATGCCCTTAACTTACACACCCAGAAGGAGCACAAAAAAGATCCAGTTTCTACCTACATTATATTATTTATATGGACTCAGCGTAGCGGGGATTCTTTTGAGCAGAGCAGCAGGCAGACCGCTGATTATTCATGAACTCCAGCTGCGTTCTGCACACGGCCACAGTAACATTTTCTACGTTTCTAAGTGGCGTCACCAAAAATATACAGTTAACCCACAGTCGTTCGTGTCCGTTCATTTTCTCTCTGGTAAGTTCTGTCTGTATTTGAGCATGACGTGTGGACGCGCTCGCGCAGCAGCGCTCGTCACTGGCGCAGCCAGGCAGCGCAGTGCACACTCCGCTTTTTTTGCAATCAATAGATCAATTTGATCTGCTAGTTAAAAAGTTACTTGTGCGGTGAAAAAGAAGGGAGCAGACAGGAGTTTTTCTGGAGGACTGGGAGATGCAGGAAGATCAGAGACAGACGGGACAGGAAGATAGGAAAATAAAAACCAAGAAATCAAAACAAAGTTCTTAAAAAAATAAAATGTAGGCAGATTGATCCCACTACACGTTTGTACCTGTATAAAGCAATAACTTATCAGCTTGTAGTATTTATATAGTTGATACAATTCAGATCATCTTCAAAACTCCGTCCCATGCCCAGGGACGTATCTAAGCATTTTGGGGACCGAGGCAAAATAGCCCCCTGTCAGGTGTTTGAAGTTGAAGTGCGATCTGTTTTTATATTAGACTTTTTATATTTGCAGTAAAGTCCAAAAGTGAAGAATTTATGTTATTTATTACTTGATTGTTCAAGTTACCTCACAGAAGTGATCTGTTGTTAAAAATAAAAAGAAAAACGTAATTAAATAAAAAATAAGGAGCATTCTGGAACTGTTTCTTCCATTCCTTTTTTTTTAATGTATCGGATTGGGACTCGGTATTGGCAGATTCTCAAAATCAAATGACTCGGACTCGAGGGCAAAAAAACCTGATCAGGACATCCCTAGTCCTCCTGACCTTCCTTAGTAATGATGCTTGGATTTAAAGACTCAGATGTAGGTTGGTTATTGGGTGCTGTTTAATCAACAAAGACAAATATAGAGATGTGTTTGTTTGTTTGTTTGTTTGTTTGTGTTTACCAGGAGGGCGCGGGTCCGGAGGGCCACAGAGGAGCTCGAGTTGTGTGGGTGTGTGAAGGCAAATACCTGCTGGTTTCTGGATTCGACAGGTACCAGAAGTTGCTTTTGTACATTTCTAAGAACCGTGCTGAATTAGATCATTTTCTGCTAAACCAAACACTTTTCCCAATAATCCATGAATCGTGACTGGTTAGTAAGTGTCCTACTGCCATTATGTCTGGGACTCCAGTCCCAAGGGACCCTGACCTCTGACCCTCCTCCTTCTAGTCGCAGTGAAAGAGGCGTGTACCTGTTCTCTGCTGAAGCGCTGTCCTCCGGGCCGATCGCCAGTACTTTTGTTAACGTCTCCCCCTCCACACTCATCCCATTCTACGACCCCGACACCAGGGTCGTCATCCTCACCGGCAAGGTGAGCTAATGGCTGACGGCGTGGACGTCACTTGGGTGAAACTCTTCATCCATTTCTGCACTGTGGAAGTGTGAGCTGCGGTTTTTCTGTCTTCTGCAGGGCGACACCAGAGTGTACGTTTATGAGTTGGTTCCTGAAGATCCGTACTTCATCGAATGCAGCAGCTTTAACTCCTCTGAGCCTCACAAGGTGATCCCAGCTAATTCCTCCAGACCCAGACCTGCCAACCTGTACCCATTCTGTGTAGCAAGTATGCAATTTATCATCTAATTTCGCTGGTACGACTCGCCCCTCTAAACTACGCAAAAAGCTGCAGACGCGTGAGTTCTTTAGCAAATGCGCACGTCTGGTACTCATGACTGCAACACGACTCAGCAGCGTGATGAAGAAGTTTAAGTCAATCATTGTAGAAAAGCCTGAGAAGAAAATTCTGCCTAACCCATGGACGTAATTTTGGGGGGGGGGACAGGGGGGACATGTCCCCCCCACTTTTTCCAAAGTCAAGCTTTGACCCCTGCACTTTTTACCATCCAAAAAAATATCACACTATATTAAATTGACACTGGTTGAGCTCTAGGACCAAGCGGAAAACAACCGTTTGTGTTGAAGCCTGTTTCCCATTAGAACATACTGTAAAGATCCCCCCCCCCCCCCCCCCCCCCCCCTCCTTCCCCTCCACTTCTAAAGTGAAAATTACATCCCCTATAGCGTAACACCCCCACCCGCCTCCTCCCTGCTTCATCCTATGTACTGCGTGTGCGTGTGTGTGTGTGGGCGTCGCACCAATTGGGGCTGTAAACGTTATGCACCCACACTTTTTCTAATGAGGAGGTTAAAAGCACCGACTCTTTACTATGAGAAACGTTACTATCAGTCCGATCCCTCCTGCCGTCGGTCAAAACCTGCACATTTTTGCACCAATGTTACGTCAGAATTCTGGTCTGGTTCTGTTGTTGAAACCCACTTATCCTACCGCTCTGCACTCGCAGCGCAAGCAGCAAAAACGCGCATGCTCATTACAAGCTTGCTCCCGCAGTGCGCTCTGCTCACACACAACAGAAATGCAGCCTCAGTGTGTTAAAACATCCGGTTTCTGCAAATCAACATTTGAAATTGGAGCTAATTCAGTTGTTGAAGTGATGTGTGCCATTCCTGCTTATGGATCCCCTCAGAGATGGCTTGTTGATGTGAATATTTATTTATTTGTTAAATAATTAGTTTATGTATTTATTTATTTGTTTGTTTGTTTATTTATAGGTTTGTTTATGTATTTATTTGTTTGTTTGTTTGTTTATATGTTTGTTAATGTATTTATTTATTTGTTTGTTTAACGAGAACAAGATATTAAATTACTACAAAAAGCAAAAGAGAACCGTTAGAACTGGCTCAGCTCAAAATCTACAACACCTAGACTCTTCAGACCTGAACTAGATTATTTAAAACTAATAGCAGAGTCCTTAAAAATAGTTTGTGATTTGTGAAACCTTTATTTGGTTTGTTACAGTTGAAAAAAAAAACACAAGTTTCATCTGGTTCACAGTAGATCTGGTCCAGCTCACAACTACAACACTTAGACTCTTCAAACCTGGACTAGATTATTCTAGATTAGCAGCAAAATCCATCAGAGACAGTTGGTGAATGTGAAACTTTTAGTAGGTTAGCCAAAGAAGGCAACTTTCTTCAATGATGTAGTGAGTTTGGATTATTATCCTAGCAACAGAGTTTATATTGGTCACCCATGAAATAAAACATTTTATGTTACGTGGACAGAAACCAGCAGGGAGCTGCAGCTAATGTATAAATTAGCCCCGGTGGTGTGTGCACATGTGCTTTAAGCCAATTTAATATTACATTCTTGAAAACAGAAACACCTATTGCAAATCATTACCAATAAATGCATATATTTTTTTATTATTTAAGTAATGAAATAATTCAATGTAAGTAACTTGTTGCTATCAGCTTGTAGTAAGCGCACGTATTATATAAGGAAGGTAAGTGCAACTTTTGGGTTTTACGGTTTAATGTTACTTGATACTTTGGACTATTGGAGAAGATGTTTCCAGCCAGTGAATGAAGAAATTACAGCGTGGTTGCAAAAGTCTGCGAAAGAAAGACGGCACATGTGGTACTCAAAAGATTTTAACAAGGATGGCAGATGTGTTACTCTAAATGTGCATCAGTGCAGGCTGGGCGAAATGATTCCAACATGTCTCAGATAATTCATTCTGTCTGCAGGGATTGGTCTTTCTGCCCAAAACAGAGTGCAACGTGCGTGATGTGGAGATCGCTGTGGGACTGATGCTCACCAAGACCAGCATAGAGCCGGTGGCCTTCAGGGTGCCTCGGGTCAAAGTGAGCCCACCGCACCAGCCCTTGCCTTTTTCCTCCTGCTGTTTACTTCCAGCTAACTGAGCATATCTCTATGACTGATCTCCAGAAAGAGTTTTTCCAGGATGACGTGTACACAGACACAGCCGTGTGGTGGGAGCCCGCTCTGGCGGCATCAGCCTGGCTCTCCGGCTCCAACGGCCAGCACAGAAAGATCAGCCTGAAGCCCAAAGACATGACTCCAGGTGGAACTCTTCATCAATGCTGCCTTTACGGTACTGGCTATGTTCTGGTGTGTTTGTGTGCTTCATGCTTGGTGTGTTTGCGTTGTCTCTCAGTGAGCGAGGCCCCCAAAGAGGCTCCAGTGAGGAAGTACCTTCCCTCTTCTGTTTACCTGGAAGAAAAAACTGACGAGCAGAAAAAAGACGAGGTGAGCAGAAGTTTGTGTGGTCCTGTAGCCCATCTGCTCCGTTTATCTGGTTTCAGACGTCTGAAACACCAGCGCTACATAAATGTCACTGTGTGTGTGTGTGTGTGTGTGTGTGTGTGTGTGTGTGTGGGTGCGTGCGTGCGTGCGTGCGTGTGTGTGTGTGTGTGTGTGTGTAACACTGATCATGTGTCTGTGATCCAGCTGCTGAGTGCCATGGTGGCCAAGCTGGGAAACATGGATGACCCGCTGCCTCAGGAGTCCTTCGAGGGCGTTGATGAAGATGAATGGGTGAGTTTTCGGTAGTTTTCAGGTGCAGACGAGTAGAAAAACAACCCTGATTCCTGGTTTTTTTTTTCCTTATATTTTCTAAAAAATACAACAATAAGGGCTAACTTTTATTAAGAAGAGCATATTAACTAAATATTAAACTGATACCATTTGAAGGAGGAGCTCCCCCCACCCCCCACCCCATCCCGCCGCCGCTCAAAACTTGAATTAATAACTGTTTGTTTACTGCAGTGTGTTAATTACAGGTTAGCTCAGTAACAAGGCGGGGCGGGGGGGGGGGGGGGGGGGGGGGGTCCTAGAAGAGAACAAGAGTCGATTTTCATTGAAGGATTTGATTCAGATGACTCTTTTCAGAGAAATGTTGAAAAAGCCTGACCACTAACCAAACATTTAATTAAAACACAACTCCAAACTTCACCGAAGATAAATATAAACAGTTTTGTTTTTGCTCCCAGTTTTCATGAGCTGAACTCAAAGACTGAAGCATAAATGAACAGAAGATTTTAAAATCGCTGTTATATCCGATAACCAATATTTCCCAATATTTCATTAATATAAGTAGGGATGTAATAAAATAATGGTACACTAAAATGCCACAATGTGTTCGGAGAGCCCGTTTACAAAAGCAGTGTTTTTTATTTGATTTTATTTGGTTTTTTTAACGAGGATTTCTTTTGTGTGGTGCAATTCCAAGTCTTACAGCTAGGTGGCAGCAGTTTTTACCACCTCCTGATAACGCTGAATGTGTTAGAAACGTCTGACCTGTTCAGTCAAAATAGCAAATATTGTCTGACTTTTAGTATCACAATATATTCTGTCCTCGCTCTTGTATTTAAATTTTTATTGCATTGCCAGATTCCTGCAGATACACACCCCTAAATATTAGCAATATTTATAATTATGTACACACATTTACGGTTCTGAGATGACTACCCTCACTGTCACATGACATGACTAAAGAAATGTGCATCATGGTAAATGTCCTGTATTTGTATAGCGCCTCCTAAGGGTTCTGCAACCCCCCAAGGCGCTTCACAACACACCCATTCACACACACGCTGGTGGGGGTGACCTACATTGTAACCACAGCTGCCCTGGGGCTTTCCAAACACTGGCGCCATCGGTCCTCCCGACCACCATCAGCAGGCAAGGCAGGTTAAGTGTCTTGCTCAAGGACACAACAGCAGCTTTCTCTGGTCAGAGCCAGGATCGAACCTACAACCCTCCGATTTACTGGACAACCCACTCTACCTCCTGAGCTGCTGCTGCCCCACCCACCTCACCCTCTGAAACTGATACACAAACGGCAACAAGATGGAAAAATGTCTCGGTTGTTAATATCTGCCCAGCTTGATTTGTCGAACCGATATAGATGCCGATATGTCGAGCATTCCCTAGTTAACAGTCTCGTCTTAAAGTGGATTAACTCTGATGTTTGTTTACAAAACAAACTTTGTGGGGATTTCTGCATCTTTGTTTTTTTACACGTTACATTATTTTTTATTTTTTAACGGTTTTCCTGGATTATGATGTTTGCTGTAACACCACAACAACCATGTTAGACTGAGTAAATCACCCCCTCTTCTTCTCCTCTCCCCGTCATTCAGGATGATTAGAGACGACGGCGTCTGGAGTCGGGGTCAGTCCTGCTGCCGACATCAAACAACTCAAGTGTTTTGTCGCCATTCCCAGAAATCCTCTGAGCTCCAGCAACAATGGCACTTCAACCAATTCACAACAGAACAATTATATGTAAGACTATAGAAAAAAGAATTCATTCTGACTAGTTGTTGATTAACATCATTTAACGGTTAATCAGACGTAGTTAAACAAAGATGTTAGTAAAACAATCACATGAAAGCATTGAAATCATAAACATGTTATGCATTAAAGTCAGTTGGATGGTGATCACACCAACAGCCCTCCTCTTTCCGACACATAACTGGACGAGTTTTTCATTATTGTATACAACGATTCACTTCCTCTGGTGGCCATCCTGGTATTCTGAACCATCCACGTGCTCAGAGTTAAAGTATCTTTCCGGAGTTTTCCCCTTTCAGAAATTATGTATGATTTGTCAGAAATCCGTAAAAGTGATTATCTTATATCTTATCTTATCTTACTGTGATATAATGTAAGCAATACATCTTTTTTTTTCTGCTAAGCACGCCCCCTGCCCCGCAGAGCTCCGTGCAATAGGAAACTGAGTGCTGACCAGAACTATCCAATAGTGTTAGACTACCGCTTACTTGCGTCAAATTTAAGGAATACCTCGGCTGATGCGGACTTGATGAACTTTTCACGGACAAGAAAGTCTCTAAAATATAAATATATGAGAACACAACATGACATGAGAATAATACTAGTTAAACAACGTGTTTTAGCTGTTTGTCAGCTACAGAAGCACATTTATAAACAAGAAACGTGAAGTCGCCATCTTTAAAAAAACGGAAGGAGTGTGATATGCTTGTCAGCCACTAGATGGTGCCATCGGATAAGAGAAATACTCCGGAAAGAAGCTTTAATTATCGCTCTGATTTATTTCAGATTCAGACACAGCCGTGTCTTCCTGTTTGGTCAGATTAAAAACATTTAAGCTTCAGGTACAAAACCTCCTCTGATGAAACTAGGGGCGCCTCCAGAAAATTTTGATGGGGTGGCCAGATGGGGCCAAAGACATTTTTGGGGTGGCACACCAAATTGGTCATTGTGGTAACTCTGGTTGAATTTAGTCTGTGGCGATGTGCTGCATTGCGCCTTTGTTCGTTTTTATTAAAATAACATACGTATCCAAAACATTTAACTTAAATTTAACAAACATAAACTTTTTAGAAAAACACATTTCAGTTATTTAAAATGTTATCCCAAATTTTATTTTTAAATGTATTTTTTTGTTTAATTCACCTGTTGCTGTGTTCACACAAAAAAACTGGAGATAAAATTTTTTTTAAATGATGAGCAGCAGAAACATATGTATTTTTTTATTCTGATTATTTCCTTACTCATTAATTGTAATATTTTTATTTTGTTTTACAATTATATCTTGAATAAACTAGATCAATATATGGTTTGACTGAATATTAATATGATTTGTCAACACTGGCTTCTCCTGGGGGGGCTTGCAATTTTCTAGCCACCCCATGCCACCCCTTGGGGGCGTCCTTGGATGAAACAACAGGGTCATCTGTGTTCATGTTTCAACTGGAATTTTAAAAGTTAACATCATGTTTTTTTACAAGCCAAATCTGAAATGCCATTTTATCAGGATTATGTCGTGTTTTAGTCCGAGTTAGATTTTAATCTTTGTTCTTCCAGGAATAGACGTCAGGAAGAGGTAAAATAATCCATTGTGAGTTTCTAAGGAGATCTTTTATACTTCAAGAATGAGTTTTGTTTTTGTTTACTGGCTGCTTTTAACTTTTATTGTGGGATTTCACTAAACCATTTGGTTTTCTCTGACTGCTGGAATGTGGTGAGAAACAAACAGTACAGTGTTCTTAACTTCCATCATGTAGTCGTCACTCAGGGCTGCAGCAATAAGACCAGAGACCCACGGATGACCCGGCTTTTGTTTACATTCTCTTAAGAACTGGATCAATCCGGTTGGGCCAGCCGTGTGACAGGTGCCACGTGAGTTTATTTGGTGTTGACTGTACGTACTTGTGATGCTCAGAAATTGTTGTATTTGGATTGGAGTTACTTGCCTTCAATTGTGTGTTTTTATAAAGTGATTTGTTTTATGTTTCCTGTCTTTCTAGTGTAATGATTTGTGGACTTTTTCTAAATCTTCTAGCAATAAACACAATATGAACTCTGCTCCTATTGCTTCAGTGTAATTAACATGACAGCTACACACACACACACTACCTTATACATTATTAAATAAAGCAATATTAGAAACAAATGTATAAGAATAATACCATACCACTTTAATAAGGCGTATTTTCCCACAGCGTGTCAGCTGCCCAACGCGCAGTACAACAAGGGTCATGAAAAAAAAATTAGAGACCAATAAAAAACTAAAAACACTGTGTGTGTGTGTGTGTGGGGGGGGGGGGGCAAAACCAGTCATAATGAAATGTAAGAAGTTCACAGGTTAAAAACAACCAAACACTAAAACCGTCATAAGAAAGCCAGGGCACAGAAGTCGGCTTTTAGCTTTGCTGCCACAGGAGACGCCTGTTGTACCTCTAGCGGCAGGACACTCCATGTACTGGAGTTGCATACAGAAAGGCACGTTCACCCCTTTTCCTTTATCTCTTTTCGAGTGCAAAGCAGCAGATGGTAATGAATATTTCCTTAACATGGTGTGGAGTAAGCATTTCAATAATTAATTACCTTTTTTTATATACGTTTTAGATTCTTACGTATCTGAAAGTGTCACCATTAAGTTTGTTTTGTTCTTTAGGATTTGGATTCATGTATGGTGGTCAGCTATTCATTTATTGGACAAATTAATCAGAATCTTTTTAAGAAACAGATCTACATGGTATCAGTTTGAGAAAACTTATAGGAAGTCAGCCATCAGGTTTGATCAAAGTTTTGTAAGACAGCATGATGTTTTGTTAAATGTGCAGATGCTTTATATAACTGGATCAAACCTCAGATTCCAGCTTACTGCACCTTTGTTGTGCTGCACGGTGGCGCGGTTGGTAGCGCTGAAGTTCACAGGTTCAAATCCCTCTCGCCCAGTGACACCAACTCCCTGCAACCCCTAATGATGAAGCGGTTCAGATGAGAAAGATGGATCAGTTTTTAATTGTTTATTTATTTTTTTTATTATGTATAATTTTAGAATTGTTTATCTCTATGAAGTATTTTTGAGTCTTTTGTTTTACATACTTTCATCTTTTCTAATTTTCGTAACAACTGTTTTACAAGCAGAGCACAGGTGACCTTAGAAGCATCAGGCTGCAGTTAGACTTCCTCGCCAGCAGGTGTCGCTGTCTTAATAGTCACACCAAGACGGCCAGTCTTGAATTCGTAATGTTGCTTGAACTTTGACCTCCTTCGGTAACCTTCAGTACCCATGTGTGAATACGAGACTGTCGTCTTCCGCGGAGGCTAAGTATTATATTTAAAAATGGTAAGGTCACGTTTATGTGTTCTCGTTTATAGTCTGTTGTTGAAACTGAAACGTGAACAGAAGCTGTTGTTTTGAGATTAATTCGTGGTTTGCTGCAGCGCTAGCTTCATTATCTGATCAGATTTGGTTTTTAAATGTCAGAATATTAGCTGAGTGTCTCTAACGCGCTAGTCGTGTTGGGGTATTCAGCCTGAGTGTGACGTAACCATTAATGACATCCAGTCTATAAACTACCAGCCACGCGCCTCCTTTTGTCTTTATCTCATTCAGGCCAAGTATCTGGCTCAGATCATAGTGATGGGAGTCCAGGTGGTGGGCAGAGCCTTTGCCCGTGCTTTACAACAGGAATATGCAGGTACGACCCGTCATTGCTCGCGCGCATTTGTGTGTGTAATCATGTAGAACTTTGTATCTCCTCCATCAGCCAGTCAGGCAGCAGCTCGGGCCAGAGGTCGGACAGGTCAGCAGTCAGCTGCAGCCTCCAGCATCTCTGGGATGAGTCTACAGGAGGCTCAGCAGATCCTCAACATCTCCACTCTCAGTCCTGAGGAGATCCAGAAGGTACACACATTCTCTCTCTCTCTCTCACACACACACACACACACACACACACACTGGTGGCATTTTTTAGAAGCTCTCTGAGCGTGCTCTGTAATATTTAGTGAGAAATTTATTTATTTTAGTCTTGTTTTTATCCACTCATCATAGGTTGCATTTGAGAAAAGGATTCAACATTCATATACGTTCTTTAATGAACTAAATTAAAGTTTGTGTCCTCTCCTTCTGTTTGACCTTTTCTGATGAGCATCTAAAGACGTTTCTCAGCAGAAGAAACCACAATATTGCCGTTCATGACTATAATGATCCAAATGCTGATGGCATCCTAACCCTATCAAACTGTCCACTTAGGAAGCAACACTGCTGTTGTGCAAATGGAAAAGACAACAGGTGGAAATTATTAGCACTTCACCTGTAAGACATCTCCAATGAAGAAGTGGTCCTGCAGGCGGTGATCACAGAGCACAGGTTTTCGTAGAGCTCATTCTACTGAAACAGCTCTTCTTAGGGTCTCTAATGACCTTCTGGCTCACAGTGATGCAGGGGACTGTTCTGTTCTGGTCCTGCTGGACCTGACTGCAGCCTTTGAAACAGTTGACCATCACCTGCTTCTGGAGAGGCTGAGAGACTGGATAGGCCTATCAGGAACTGCTCTGGAGTGGTTCTCCTCTTATCTTTCTGAGCGCTCCTTTTCTGTGGCCATCTCCAAGTTTAGGTCCTCCACCACCTCCTTTACCCATGGTGTCCCACAAGGTTCTGCGCTGGGGCCTCTACTCTTCCTCCTCTATCTGCTCCCTCTTCAGCACATCCTGAGCTTCTTCAAAGGAATCTCCTACCATCTTTATGCAGATGACATCCAACTGTACATCTCCTTTAAGCCCCATGAGATGTCCAAGCTGCAGCTGTTACACACCTGCTTAGACTCTTATCAAAACCTGGATGGCTGGGAGCTTTCTACAGCTGAATGAAGATAAGACTGAGATCCTCATCTGTGCTCCAGACAAGCTGGTTCCCAAAGTCAGAGACTCTCTTGGTCTGCTTGCTTCTCACACCAAACCTTCCGTCAGGAATCTTGGCGTGACCTTTGACCCAGCTCTCCCCCTGGACTCTCATGTCAGTTATCTTGTTCGCTCTTCCTTCTTCCATCTCAGGAACATTGCTAAGCTGAGTCCCATTCTGTCCCGCTCTGAACTTGAGACAGTTCTCCACACCTTCATCTCCTCACGCTTAGACTACTGTAACTCTCTTTTCACGTGTCTGAGCAGAACCTCCCTGAACCGTCTACAGGTGGTTCAGAATGCCTGTGCTCGGCTTCTGACCAAGTCCTCCAAACACACCCACATCACCCCGCTTCTCCTCCAGCTTCACTGGCTGCCAGTCAACTTCAGGGTTCATTTCAAGATCCTGGTTCTGGTCTATAGGGCCTTACATGGACAAGCACCATCTTACATTGGTGATCTTCTTAGTCCCTACACCCCCAGCAGGTCCCTGAGGTCCAGTGATCAAAGCCTACTGGTTGTGTAGCACCAGGCTAAAGACCAAAGGTGACAGATCATTTGCTGCTGTGGCCCCCAGACTCTGCAACTCTCTCCCCCTGAGCCTGAGATCAGTGGACTCAGTGGTCTCCTTTAAAAAGCAGCTGAAGACTCACTTGTTCAAGCTGGCTTTTGTGTGACCTTCTTCACCACTCTCTCTTTATTCTTTTCTCCCCACCTATTCCACCTTCCTCAGGATCCACTGATTTCCCTCTTTCCTATTCACTCTCTCTCTCTCTCTTAACATTTTTTAATCACAATTGTCTATTTTTTGCTCATTTTAAATATATTTTTAACCATTTTCTAAATTCTTTTTTATATTTTTACATTTTTTGTTTTTGTGAAGTGCCTCGTGATTTTTATCTTGAGAGGCGCTATAGAAAAGATATTTTCTTCTTCTTCACTTTTCAGTTCCTCTGCTTTCTGACTGATATTTTGGTCCCTTTTGAATGCTGGTGGTGCTTTCACTGTAGTGGTGGCATGAGGAGTCTGCAGCTCACACATGTGGCTCAGGTAGTGCAGCTCATCCAGGATGGCTCATCAGTGTGAGCTGTGGCCAGTAGACAGGCCAGCGCATCAGGAGGTGTGGAGGAGGCCGTAGGAGGGCAACAACCCAGCAGCAGGACTGCTACCTCCACCTTTGTGCAAGGATGAACAGGAGCAGTACTCCTTGTTATGCTCTTTCTGTTTCTTTTCTATTTCTGTTGATTTTTTGTTCTTGTCTAAGTCACAGATTAGCAAAGCTTTTATTTAATTTTGCTGACAGTTTCGGCTACTTCTGACGTCCACAGGTGGGGGTTGTGCTTACAGCCCAACACCGTGCATTAGCTACAGAACACCAAATTCACCACTGACACCCTTACTCTTCACAGATGAAAGCAGGATCACACTGAGCGCATATGACAGAGTCTGGAGACGCTGTGGAGAGCGTTCTGCTTCCTGCAACATCCTCCTGCTTGATTGGTTTGGTAGCGGGTCAGTAATGGTGTGGGGCGGTAATTCTTTGGGGGGCAGCACAGCCCTCCATGTGCTCGCCAGAGGTAGCCTGACTGCCATTAGGTACTGAGCTGAGACCCTCAGAACCCTTGTGAGACCATGTGCTGGTGTGGTTGGCCCTGGGTTCCTCCTAATGCAACACAATGCTAGAACTCATGTGGCTGGAGTGTGTCAGCAGTTCCTGCAAGACGAGGGCATTGATGCTATGGACAGGCCCGCCTGTTCCTCAGACCTGAATCCCACTGAGCACATCTGGGACATCATGTCTCGCTCCATCCAGCAACGCCGCGTTGCACCAGACTGTCCAGGAGTTGGTGGGTGCTTAAGTCCAGGTCTGGGAGGAGGTCCCTCAAGAGATCATCCACCACCTCATCAGGAGCATGTGTAGGCGTTGTAGGGAGGTCACGTGGAGAACACACACATACACACACACTACTGAGCCTCATCTTGACCTGTCGCAGGACCAGCCTGTGGTTTGTTTTTACACTTAACTGTTAAGAGTGACTCCAAATCCATCCCATAGATGGTTTTTGTGTTGCCAGCACATCCAGCTATGTAAAGAAAAAGTGTTTAATAAGAATATTTCATTCATTCCGATCTAGGGTGTCTTGTGTTTGTGTTCCCTTTATTTTTTGAGTGTGTTACTGAATTATGTGAACATTTTAGGAGCTTTGCTCCGTGTTCTATTGGTGATGTTTGACTTCACAGGATTGCGTTCATGAACCAGTTTTTCCTTAGATGGGTGGTCCATGGTCAAAGGTCAAAGGGTTTATTTAGTTATTTGACATTTGCCACCAAATGATTTAAGTGAATGTCTGACTGTAGAAACCTTAGTGTGTGTGTGTGTGTGTGTGTGTGTGTGTGTGTGTGTGTGTGTGTGTGTGTGTGTGTGTGTGTGTGTGTGTGTAGCATTTAAAATATTTTATGAAGTTACATAATATTGCTGAGGTCTGTAATTCTGCATACAGAGATGTAGGAGTGTGCATGTTTAAAGCAGTGGTTACGTTACTTGAATTCTGATGTTTTTATGTCCTCCAGAACTATGAGCACCTGTTTAAAGTCAATGACAAGTCAGCGGGCGGGTCGTTCTACCTCCAGTCTAAAGTAAGTGGCCCTTACCTTCAGGCTGCACAGGTGCAACCCTCTGTAGCATTAACCTGCTCATGGGGTAATACTGAAGCCTTGGATACTTTTGGACTCTATTATAACTGAATTTTAGAAAGTAAACTCCTAACTTTGCTTCCCTTTCAGTCTAAAACTTGAGATTTTCTGGAACTTTTTCACTGTTGAATCAACTTATTTTGTCTGGATGATCCGTTTAAATTTGGACTAAATCCAGTTGTTGCTAATCTTCCTGTTGGTGTGATGACAGCAGGAGTTTGTGTTTCTGCGGGTTTTACAACATCTCTCGTTACAGAAGGATGTTTTTCTGTTAAATGTTTAGATGTCACAAAGCTTTCAGTCCCTGACTCTGAAACAAAGGAACCCGGATGTGTGATTCCTCAAAACGTTGCTGCCTTTAGAAGAAAAACCCCTTGGGGGTTTTTTTGCTGCAGAGCAAATTCACGAATGTAAAAAATGTCTGATTGTGCGTTAGTGGATCAAAATACGAGCCGTGGTTGTTTTCTCAATGATGTGGTTGTGTGTTTATAATCTATTCACAAGTCTTTCCATCTGCCGTTAGACTTGTGAATAGATTATAAACACACAACCATGCTCGTCTTCTGTACTTGACATAACGTCACGTTATCGGCCATATTACCATTACCCGCCTTTTTTATAGCAAAGTTTTATGCTAGTTTATTATATTTTATTTTACTTTATTCTACTTTATTCTATTTTTAATTATATTATTCATGTTATATGTAGCACGTTAGTATCGAAGCAAGTTCCTAGTTTGTGAATTGTTTGTTCACTGACGATGGCAATAAACCTTTTCTGATTCTGATTCTGATGTCTCCCATTTGTGTTCAGGTGGTCCGAGCCAAAGAGCGTCTGGAGGAGGAGCTGAATATTCAGACACAAGAACAGAAACAGTCGCAGCAGAACTCAGAAACATGAGTCATTACCCCCCACCCCACCCCCCATCCTCTGTAAATTATAACCCAATAAAGCCCTCTCCTTCCTAGTGCTCGTGTCTGAGTCCTGGTTTCTCTCTTTTTATCCAATATCCTTACGTGTTGGACTGAAACGCTGCTCTGCTTTGTGCTCCTAACTTCTGTTGGAACAAAAATGGAAGCAGACTTATCAAATGCAACTTTATTAAACATTTGTTGTTTTCATTGACATTTTTTCTTATATCAATATCGTAATAAAATTCCTCTAGAACAGGAGAACGCTGCTATGTTGTACCAACTGGAGACTTTACAACTCTAAAATTCTGCATGTTCAACACCGGAACATGGTTCAGGAAAAATATAGTTTCGTATGGTTCTTTTATTATAGTGTAGAACTTTTATATTTACCTATAGTAAAAAGGCACTTGGAAAAATAAAAATACTGACATAATATCTCACAAATGTGCAAAAACATGAGCTGAACAAGCCTTGAATGGCCCTGGTCTCGTCATTAACCCTTTGTGCAACACTGTGGCACTTCCAACACCGGTCACCTCTGGCCTCCCAGTGTCCCGGATCTTGGCTCTGCTTCTTGTAACATTTGAGTTTGGGTTGCTTTAACATCTCCAGGAGCACGTACCACTCATATAACATGAAATCAAAAAGGAAAAATTATTTCAATGTAGTCATGTTGAGCAAAGTTTTCACAATTGTTCATATTTCCCAAACAACTGATCGTAGATGCAGATTAAACAACAACAAAGAGAGCATCCCCATATCCATAGTCTACACGGGGAGGGAAAGTGCAGTTTCATTACAGACTGAGCTCAAAGGGTTAATGGGGCGTGCTGCTTAGTTAACATTGAACTGGTGTGGACCCAGTTTGGATCCGTGTCATTCTGCAGGTTTCTGCTGCCGGGCTGAGTCTCTGTCCCTGGCGTCGGCCAGCAGAGGAGGAAGAGGGGAGCCGCCTCATCCGTGGGTTTCACTGTTGCCATGGAGACCATGTCTGGCTTGGCTAACGCCTGCTCCTGGTGACATCACATGCCAGGCTGGTCCATTCAGAGACAAATGACTCTTTTCAGTAGCTGACCTGAAGTAAGTAAGTGTGTGTGTGTGTGTGTGTGTGTGTGTGTGTGTGTGTGTGTGTGTGTGTGTGTGTGTGTGTGTGTGTGTGTGTGTGTGTGTGTGTGTGTCCTCACTGACCTGAATGCAACATTAAATTACATTCATGAGTTTATCTTTCTGCATCAAAGTTTAGTTTGCGGGTGAGAACTGAGCGTGAGGTTTGACCTACAGAGAAGATCGGAGAGCAGGAGGAGGTCAGTGGCCTAGTTTCCTGCGTGCTGGTTTGAGAGCGGCTGCCACACTGGGCACCGGGCAGCCATCGACTTCAGAGAGGAGCGTTTTCTGGGTAGGTGGCCAGATGGAGAGCAGCAGCAAAGGATGAACCCCCCCCCACCCCCCCGTCCTGGCTCCCAGCCCCGGCTCTCCTGTATTCCTGTCCTTCATCCACTCACTCATTCAGCCATTCTCTTTGCTCTCGCACTCCTCCAGCTCAGCCATACGATTCACAGTTGGAGGTCACCTCTCTACGTTAACCCGTCTGCATTTGTGAAACCGTGTAAAATAGCTATTGAAGATCTCCATTACGCTCACACTTTAAAAGTAGTGAACTAACGTGATTGTCAGGAGGGAATATGGTGTCATTGGACCCGCTGGATCACATTTGTCTCTCAGAGCAGTGGTTCCAACTGGGCTTGCGCCTTCTGAAGATACCACTTATTTATGGCCTTCAGAACTGTAGAAAATGTCCCCCAGTATGCTTTTTGTCGTGGTAAATATCAAACAGTACCCTAGGTGTGTGAATTTTGAGACATTTTAGGATATTTTTACATGAGGAGTCTCTGATTCAACAAATGTTTCTCAAAATTTTCAGTATTTCCAACATGAATCTAGTTTCTAAATAAGTTTAGATTGTTTTTTCTTTTTCAAACACACCCAGTTACATTTTAAATGTACACTGGCCTTTTGTGTTCTATCATTAAAATGTAATCATTTGTTGTGCTTTTTGACTTAGCTCAGCGGCTAACAGGTTCCTACGAAAACAAACCAGATGAATGTCTGCAGAAATCTGAACGGAGGCCCAAAATACTTCAAAGCAGGTCATAAATTCTCATGGAAAAAATTTTGTTAGCTATTTGACATTTTGTTTTTTCTCTGGAGTCCACACTTCAGGTTAGGATCCACTGCTCTGGACTCACACACACACACACTCACTCCCTGACTTAAACCCCTCTAAAGACCCGACAGCAGAAAGCTGATGCAGAGCAGCCAAAACTCAGGAAGCGATATCAACATCACAAGAAAATGTCTCGTCTGAGCAAATAAAAATACGACAGAAATATAAAACAGTGACAGGTGGGTGAATCGCCCTTCAGACGGGGAAAATCAGAACATGATCACAGGAGGAGAGTGTCTTTTCAGGAGTGTTCTTTGTTTAGAAACCCTCCTCCGCTGCCCCCGTCCTCCCTCGCGTGGACACGGCAGCGATATGTGCAGAAAAGTCAAATAACAGCAAATCACTGTTTAAAATAGAAACAGGAATCCAAAGGGAGGTTTTCTAAACTCTGATAAGTGCAGGTCGACTGTTTGATCAGACCGTGACAAGACGTTCCCCACGAGAGCTTTAAAAATCTTTCTTTGCCCCTTCGGACAGATTAAAATGAGGCAGTTTGTCAGTGTGGCGTCCTGTGACTAGTCCGGCCGTAAGCAGCACCGAGCGCCCCCTCCAGGTTTTTTAGTCACAAGATCTCATCTAAACTAGACCACCTGTGTCTGGTTTTGGGGTCATTTCAGTCGTGAAACCACTAAAGGCAGTGGTGCTTCTCACCACCTGGGTTTTACGTCTAAACTGGTTGACCGTACAGGATGTTGTTGATCACGTCCGGCCAGAGGGGGGAGTCAAACGCACCAGTGCTTTACATTTCACTTGTGTAAAAAAAGGAGAAGCAATAATTGGTCACTGTCAGGTGATGGAACACCGTCTGTCTGTTAGTTAGGTCTAAACCCTAAAAGCCCCTAGTCTGCACACACCTGTGGACTAGTCTGGTCTGTGTCGGTCACCCTCCCCAAACCGGGGACAGATTGTCGAAAGAAAAGTGCTCGTTCCCAGTTTGTGTTGCACTGGGGGAGCAGAGAGGTTAGCAGCAGTTTTGAGGTTTCAATACTTTAACCAGCTGACACCATTAAGTGCTCTTGTTAACGCTGAGCTGCCTTCCGAACAGATAGGACAGCCTGAGTTCACTTGCTTTGGTTCGGCAAGCTTGTCTGAATTATATCGCACAGAAACCTGTGAAAAATAACTTTAAAGATGAAAAACCTTCCTATGAGTGCTTCAGTCGTGGTGTTTGTGTCTCACTGCTGAGCTGGAGGCACCTTGTCAAAGTACAGTCACATAAATATGTAAGATTAGGAACACAGAGCACTGAGACGGCCGCGTTTGCGGTCCTCGTCCACAGAACCAGCAGGAATGGATGAAGTATCAGACAAGAGGAGCCTGTTCGTAAGGCCTTGTGATGATTACAGGACCCTACGTGTTCCTGGATTCACTTCCTGGGTCCCAAGTTTAGTTCTCCAACAGTCCGAGGGGAGTGTGTTGGATAGGTTAGGGTGTGAGGTTCGGAGTTATCTTCTTGATGCACGGCCACAAGTCGATTGTTCCACCCGACCTCCTGCTGTCCCACGATGGCATGGACCCTCCCCTCCAACCCCCTGAGCTCTTCTGGAATGTGTGTGTGTGCGTGCATCTATGCATGTGTGTGTGTGTGTGTGCGTGCATCTGTGCATATGTGTGTGTGTGTGTCAGTTAACCACAGCTGGCTTGAGCACCACAGCGCCTGGAGGGATGACCACCCAGGACAGGGGATCATGAGACCCCCCTGTGGAGAGGTTTAGGACCCCCCCACTTAGCTCGTCCTCTCCTTCCTCTCCTCCGCCTCTCTTCAGCTGGTGGCTCTGTGCCCGGCGCTCGGATGTGGGCCCCATCATCGGAACCATGGGCAGGCTGAGGGGAGATGGGAATGCATGAGACAGCAAAGGAGCCTTGGCCAGACCCAGAGGGGAGCCGCTGAAGGACAGGATGGGTGGAGGGGAGTTGGGGCTACCCAGAGTGCTGAGGTCCAGGGGCCTCGGGCTGAGGGGTGACAAGGGCAGAGCACCACCCAGGCCTTGCAGGGCGTGGCCTCCCAGGAGAGCAGCTGTTGCTCCAGGAATGATAATGTGGGCTCCGTTCATGTAGGACAACTCTGGATCTTTAGCACCACCGCTAGCTAGCCCCCCACTCTGACTCCCCTTCAGCATAGAGCCCACCCCACCTGGGGAGCCCTGCTCCTGTGCCACAAAGTGGCCGTGGGCTTTGATGTGCTTCCTCAGTGAGCTGGGATCCGTGTAGCGCTTCAGGCAGCCTACCATCTTGCAGTAGTAGGGCTTGTCTACGTAGTGTGTGCGCGTGTGTTTGAAGCGGTCGCTGGAATTGGAGTAGCGCTTGTTGCAGCCCTCATAAGGACAAATGTAGGGCTTCTCACCTGCAGTGACGACACATTTACCACATCAAACCCTTACACGTGCAACAAGGTCTTCTCTGGGCTGAGCTCTGACCTGTGTGTGAGCGGTTGTGTATCTTGAGGTTCTCCAGGCGCGAGAAGCTCTTGTTGCAGGTGGGACAGCGGTGAGGCTTCTCGTTGGTGTGGGTGCGAATGTGAATGAGCATTTTGTACCTTCAGACACAAGCACACACACACAAAAGACTACTTTATCACGTTTTTTATTCGTCACACAAATCCAGATGAAAGATGTTCTCACCGAGCGTTGAACCCCCTCCCTCTGCGAGCGCAGCCCTCCCAGTGACAGCAGTACCCAGAATCCTTCTCCGGTTTGACGTGAAAGTCGTTGACGTGGTCCACGAGGTCTTGCAGGGAGTCAAATAGCAAATGGCACTGAAGGAGGGAAACAGTTTCAAACGAACAATTTGATCCTTAGCTGCTCTAATGTCATGGTTTAGTTCCTGAGTCGAACCTTCTTCCAGCGGCAGGCGAGTTGTTCGTCTGCAGAAAGGTCAGGAGAGGCTCTCTTATCGCTTGTTTGGCCTATGAACATGGAGGATGGCAGGTGAAGTCCTGCTCCGGGTCCGATTGGCACAAAGAACTGAAACGCCTGTGAGAGGTGAGGATTCTTAAAGGAGCAAGACACAAAAAGAGCACAGAGAGTTAATCAGACCTTAAAATTCTGAGATGAAGAAGAAAGTGAACGCTCAAGTGTGTCTGGCTTTGGAAAACAATAAAAACCTCCTCAAACGAAGCTGCTCACTCCTCAAAACAGACCATCAGCTCAATAACAGGTAACGATTAACCGAATGAGACACAAACAAAAGAGGAGCTTCTTCCTGCTAAAGTGTAGATTTTCATCTCGCTCTTCAAAAATCCTCTCCATTTTCCTTCGAGTAGGTTCCCGCTGTGCGCTACAAAACCTCACTACGTCCCTCAGCTCGGCTGTAAGGTTCAAAGAACCTCCGCGGGGCTCAGAGAGCTGAAGCACACACACACACACACACACACACACACACACACACACACACACACAATGAAACATAAAACTCGAGTTCAAGACATAAAGTGGGGAGCACAAAAGGAGAGAGACAAAGAGAGCAAATTTCATGAAACGAGACCGATCCCCTCCACTGAGGGAATCGTGTAGCCTATTTCTACGCATAAATTCTGCTGTGTAAGACGTTTGGAGGGATAAAGGAGGAGTATTGTGATATTGTGTCCAGTCAGTGTCAATATAGGGTATGAGTGTGCAGCTGAGGGGCCGGGGGAGGGAGGGAGGCTGAATAGCCTTAGCAAGCATGTCTCAATTCAATTGCATGGGAATTGAATTAGGCAACATGAGGTCTGCATGGCCGTAGTGGGTCCTAAATCTGATTAGACACACACACACACACACACACACACACACACACACACACACACACACACACACACACACACACACACCATGCCAGCAGGGCCGCTGAGTGCAATCTGCACAGACAAAGGCATTTGTTGGGGAGACAAGACGTGTTTGATAAGAGGCCTCCCCTCTCTTGCTCAACCACTCCCTCATGTCCGTGTGACACAGCGCGATGTTGCTCCTGTCATCGTGACCCCGGTAATGCTAGACATTTACAGTAGCTTAAACGTGAGTGGACGTTAGGTTTCGTTTCAGCTAAACTAGGTTGAAGCTTTTGGGGGAGTTCTGCAGGAGTCTGTGTGCCATACTCACCCCTGAGGGGATGCAGTTGCCGTTACTTGTTTCTGGAGAACTGGGAGTGTGTCGGGAGGAGGGAGACATGCTCAGGTCCACCGCAGGGGGGGTTGGGGTGTCTGTTCGGTCATGAGGGACCACCTGCACACCTGAGAAAACACACATGAGCTGCAGTGACCTCTCCCCTGAGCCATCAGTCACCGGGACCCTTTCTCTAACATTAATGATCCATCTGATGTTTGATGAGATACGACCTGCTTTTGTTTTAGCTAAATTAGCTAAAGTCTTGCTGAGCAATCGAACTGAAACCTGAAGGGTTAAAATCAGACTTTAGAGGTGAATGTAGAACACAATCAGCATTGGTAAAAGTCTTTAAGCTTGTTATTGTGAGTAGGATGATTAGTATCATATCTGATGGTTTCAAGATTGTTTAGTTTTAAGCATCTTTTTAAGCTAGAAACGTCTGATTCTAGTTTTAGCTTCACTGTTGACCTCGTCTTGACACCTACCTGAGTGTGGAGATGCTGGTGAGGCGGGCTCTATAACTGCTGTCCCGTCATCCGTCATATGGAGTTGGCGAATGCGTTTGGGGTGTAGTGGAGAGAGGGGAGGAGAGCGTGCACCTCTGTCCTTCCCATTTAACCGCCGAGGGAGTTTCAGGTCCAGGGGTTCGTCCAGGGACAACATGGCTACGATTCGCTGACCTCCAAACTGCAAAAACAGCCACAGAGATGAGAGTTGAGTCAGCGTGGAGCCACTAAAGCCGCTGCCAGCTCAGTGGAAAGATGCTCCAAAGATGCTAAAGCAGTCGGATGTGACGGAAGGTCTGAGAAGTCAGAACACGATGGAAGCTTTTACGGAGGATTAACGAGCGCCATGGACGTAATTTTCACTTTAGAAGTGGGGGGGGGGGGGGTATCTTTACAGTATGTTCTAATGGGAAACAGGCTTCAACACAGACGGTTGTTTTCTGCTTGGTCCTAGAGCTCAACCAGTGTCAATTTAATATAGCGTACCAGTAATATTGTTTTTGAATGGTAAAAAAGTGCAGGGGTCAAAACTTGACTTTGGAAAAAGTGGGGGGGACATGTCCCCCCTGTCTCCCCCCAAAATTACGTCCAAGACGAGCGCTGCATTTCACTGGTTCTTCTGTTGAGTCCACATGTCCTGTAAATGGCCGGCAGCCCTCATCAATACGCCTGTTCAAGTCAAAACTGTTAGTCATGAATTCGACCTGCTTGGATCAGAGAAGAACTTTAGGATCAAAAAAGTTTGAACCATATAAATAATGAATTTTACAAAAACCAAATAAAAATATATCAATTAAAATCCTGAAGGCATCCAGCCGTCATCTGCTGTTGACAATAACAGAGAAACTGGGCCGCGTGAGCAGCGACCCACAGATGACGGCAGGTTCTCACACCTGCAGCCTGAGTGTTGCTGAGAGGACCCGACATTCCACATCCCCGTCGGGTGAGAAACGTTTTACGACAGTGGTGGATCGATCACAATAGGCTGAAACACGGAGTAAGGCAAAGAATAATAAACACACACACACACACACACACGCGGAGTGAGAGCTCAGTGACCCTCGTCTCCTTTTCCCATCCTGACCTTTACTCACACTCTTCCTGAGGAATTTCTACAATCCGATCCAGATGGTCGCCTCCACCGCCGGCCCTTTTTCACCTCAGTCCTTGGCCCGTCGCCGGCCTTTGCACCCTGTTGCATCAACCCCACCACCACCACCACCAAAACACATCCACAACCCCCACAGTGTGCACCATCAGACTCTCTGGACCTTTAAGACCCTCCAGCAACGCCACAGGCCTCTAACTCCAGCTGTACCCATCCACCCACCCCATCTAAGCACACCGACCTCTGGACCCAGCCTGCGGGCAGAAGGCTTCGTCTAGCTGTCATCTCTAACTCCAGTTGTCATCCTTCTCATCCACTGGGCATTTGGACGAAGCCAAGGGACATGCAGCTTCACAAACACAAATCCAGATCATTTTTCTTCTAAAGGAAAAAACAGGACTTGGACTTAAATCTTTCAGCTCAAACGTGAATAAATGTTGTTTTATTTCCTGCGCCCAAACGCTGCTGGTGAGGCGTCGCTGAATTCCAGCCAAGCCTCCATTGAGCACGGTGCTTCAGGGTTCACTGCTCCTTCCCACCACGCACACATGAACACATCCCCTCACACATCTTCACACACATTTAATGTCCTATATTCCGAGCGTGTGTATCTTGACACGGGGATTTGCACGCAGAAAAAAACATCGCTGCGGTTGCTGCACAAAGGAAAGTCAGAGTAATTTCACTATTTCGTCTGTTCTGTACTTTCTTCACACAAACGCTGACACGCACTCCTCGGTTATCAGTGAATGGGGGGCTTTGAGAGCGACTGGCCAGCAGCCACAGGAAAAGACCTCGTCTCTCTGGGAGGCATTAAGCAGGGAGATCAGCAGGTTCATCATCATCATCCCAACATGCTACCAGCTCACACATGCATGCACATGGCGAGGTGCATGCGTGTGTGTGTAGAGACTCGATCAGCCAAAGATGAGAGGACGATAATGCACACGCGTACTTCTGCTAACAGAGGATCCCACTGTAAATGCACACAGAGCAGCATTATGCTGTTATCAGTCTACCTTTGCCCTGACGTAGCTACTGACACTCATGTTCTTCACACGCATCAGGATGCATGACCAACACGTTGATGACTTCACATCCAAGTCAATCAAGTAAACCAGCGATAAATTGAATCACTAAAAAGCTCTGATCAGTGAAAAGACTTAAACTTCAGGTTCTCTTTTGATGCCAGAGAATAAAACACTCGTGTTTGTTGTGGTGTAACGTCGGGCAGGAACAGCAGGGCTCAGGCAGACAGACAGGTTCTCTACTGTCTGAGTCTCTGCAGTAGGTCTCCGGTTTCACCTGCACACACTGTGCAGAGATTCCCTTCTGTGTGGTGTCAACCACACACCTTCTGTAAGTATGAATGGAGCAACGTCCCTGATTAAGCATGGCTTCAATGGGGCTGATTAGTGGCATTTGTTATGAGGTCAACATCAAGGGTAAAAAAAAAAAAACTTCACTGGTATCAGACCCTGTCCTACCACACAGGCAGCAACCTAATCTGGATTAACTGTTTGGTCAAAGCAGCAGAAATCAGCTGTCCTCCACTTTAAAAGAGTAACAGCCTTCACCCTGAGGCGAGGACCAGGACCCAGTTTAACATCTGCTCTAATCCAGCTCTAATCCCACAGAGACAAACGGCAAACTCCCTACAAGCCATAAAAGCCACGCCGAAGCCACGAAGAGCATACGATTGTTTGTCTTCTAGTTTAAGGAAATGTAGAGTTCAGATTACATCATGTTGTGATGAGTTAGCAACACACAGCCTCTATGTCACAGTGGTGCTGACCAGAAAACCTCCAGGTGAATCAGTCCCCCACTGTCATATTTCACCTCCGCCCGCCCACTCAGTAGAGGAAAGGCAGAGACCGGCTGGGAAGTGACTCACTGTGTGTGGATCTTGGGCTGCGTTTATGGGATCTCATCTACATCTTCCAAAACGGCCACATTCACTGAGAAGGGGCTTGTGGGAAATGTGAGGCAGAAAGAACAAGGCAGGAATGGGAGGATGGAGGTGATGGACCGAGAGCGCTCACGTGTGTGTGTGTGTGTGTGTGTGTGTGTGTGTGTGTGTGTGTGTGTGTGTGTGTGTGTGTGTGTGTGTGTGTGTGTGTGTGTGTGTGTGTGTGTGTGTGTGAAGCATTGTGGCGGGCGGCTGTGAAGTTTGAGGAAGGGGTGTTGGCTGGGCCCCCATGCAGACTTCCTTGCTCGGCCGTGGGGTCGACAGCATCTCTGAAAGGCAGCATTGTCCCTCTCTGGGCCCTCTCTTCAATCTCTACCAGAGTAAACACTGACTGCAGCAGCTGAACGGGTGGGAGGGAGATCGCAGGGGCCACTGCGAGGATATATGAGGGTGAGGAGGAAGTGGAGGAGGAAGATTCATCAAAGAGAGGTTTGTGTGTGTCCTCTTTGGTTACCTTAATCACCTATTGCCCTGCAACAACTCTTCCCACCTGAGTCAATCGGACTTTCTGTGATGAGGTTACATGATGAGGGTGTGTTTGGGTCAAAAACAGGGTGTGCAAAAGCTAAGACGATGAAAAATGTAGGTTATGCTGTGTGTTTCACCACGCATGGATCAGTGTTGACCCTGATCTGACCTTTGGAGATACCTGGAGGACTGGGTTTCAGGTCCGGCTGCCTCACCTGTTGGTGCTGAAATACACAGCATCAAAAACATGAGCATGAGGTGATTATGTTTCTGGGTTTAAAAATCACGTTGTGTAATATTTTGTTTTCTGCATGCGTGAAAGAATGCGTATCCCCCCCCCCCCCCCTCCCGAGTTCGGCTGTAACCTAATCTCCCTCCTGCTGTGACCCTGGGAGGTGGTCTGTAGGAGGTGAACCAGCTCTCCCCGGGGCTCTTTGCTGCTGTTTTTCTTTTATTTTCACACACATTCACCAAAACCAACAGCTGAGATAATGCCACCGTGAAAACAACCACAACAGGATCGCACTTTAAACAAGCTGGAGCTGTGATAAGACGTGCGTTGCCTGATTGCGCGCCGTACGATTCTTCACAATAAATCTGCAAGAATATTTTTCAAAAAAGCAAAATAAAGAAAAATCTGTGATGAAGTTTGGAATTTTCTCAATAACCTTAAAATAAAATCACTTAAAATGTCTTAATCTGGTTTATAATTTTATTTATGGGCTGAAATCTAAACATGTCAATACATTTTACTTTGTATCATGGTACACACACGGTAATCCTCATCATTTTATTCATGAATGAAAGTTTTAAACATAACATTATGTTCAGTTTGTCTCCATGTTTCTGTTTAATTTGCAGCCCTTCAGTTGCTTTACCAGAGTCAAAAATGCAATTGTTAGAAAAAGTAAACAATTTAAAATCCATTAAACAAATTTACATGATGTCTTTAATTTAGATGTGAGGGTCACCGAAGAGTCACATTGAATCATTTTATCTTCTACCATCACGCCGCCTGTTTGGAGATGAGTTTGATGAATTTCATGCAGAGAGAATCTTGAAATAAACACGTTCATCTCAAAATGACACGAAGCCTTCAGCATGCCACTGAGGCTCTGGGCTTAATAGTGTGCGGACCTAAATAATAAAAACATCTCCTGAGTAACGTAAGCAGGCCCGTACTAAAAACTGGATTTCTCCCATCAAAGTTTAGAATCTTTCAGTCTGAGTCCACCTCTGTGCTGATCGATATGACTCAGAGAATGACGCACCAGCCAACAAACAAGCGGTCAGAACAGAGGCGGGTCAGCAGCTCAACGTCTAACCATCGCTGAGACTCATATAGGCCATTCCCATCTGTACCGGGTTGGCCCGGGCCGGGTAGCGTAGGTTGTTTACATATCTGGGTGGCCTGGTATTTTTCCGGGCCAACCAAGGCTCATTCTCAGCCCTCTTCTCGAGGGGGTCTGCTTCAGGCCGACCAGGGCCAACACACCCACTGCTGACAGCAAATTCACACCTTCCATTAGAGCAAGCCTCTGATTGGTGGGTAGAATCAGCCCACATGGGCTTAAGTCAAGGATGTGTGGAATCAACCAGGCCAGGCTGGGGCCGACTGGGGCTACCCGGCCCGGGC